GCGGTTCGTATTTGTGGTCCATCCCACGGCGTGGTGACTTTCCGAAGGCGGCGGGAGAGCCTCCCACTCAAGACCGAGTAGTCTGCTTTGGTGTCCACGAGTGCTGATGCGTCGTGCCCGTCAATGACGACATTTAGGTTATTGGACACCGCTGCCGGGGCGTCGTTACGGTCTCTGGTAGCGTTCGAGTGGGGGCCCTCTGACGTTCGTGGAGGATCTTGGCATCTGTTGTCTTCGGCAACTCCACCTCCAGGGGTTGCCGCGCCTAGTTTTCCCGGCGTGGAGCGAGGGGCGACAGGCTTTCACGTCGGGGTCGGTGCATCGGCGAAGCTGGACGTCGTGGCGAAGGCGACCGGAACTTTCGGCGGAACGCAGGCTCGGGGGACTGAGGTTGTTGCAGGTACTCGTCGATTTCCCGAGGGCGTTCACCATAACGGGGTCGCGGGTCGTTTGGGTGGAACCCCCGCAGCCCAAGTCATTGGTATGGGCATCGGCGGTAGGTGTGGTCTGCTTCCCCGCAGTGGAAGCACAGAAGGCGTCGGTCGGGCGTTCGCCACACATCGGTCTTCCGGGGTGTACGGTGTTCCTGGCTGGCGTACTGGGACTGGTCGTCGCGGCGTCGGTCGTGCTGCGGCGCAGGAGACTGACGTCGGGGCGGCGCAACATAGGTGCGAGGAGGAGGCGGTGGCCGTCGGGCCACTGCGGCGTAGGTCAGGGTGGGCTCCTCGGGTGCAGCTATGCTGGCAGGAGACTCCGGTTGAATTGCCTGCTGAACTTCTTCGCGCACCACTTCGGCAATCGACAGCGAAACTGGCTGGTTGGCAGCAGGCAGCAGCTTCCGAAGCTCCTGCCAGACAACGTCTCGAATGACCTCACGGATGCCCGGGATACTGGAGGCAAGCTCGCAGCTAGACGGAGCGAGGGCAGCGAGGCCGGGTGGTCGATGGTAGTGGCTGGCTCGGGCTTGCAGGGCACGCTCGATGTTCGTCGCCTCGGCGACAAAGTCTTCGACAGTTGTCGGAGGGCTGCGGACAAGGCCACCAAAGATGTTTTCTCTCACGCCCCGCATGAGGATTCGTAGCTTCTCTTCTGTAGCCCGAGGGTCGGCGCGGGCGCTCAGGCGCAGGACGTCCTCTACGAAGCCGGTGACACTCTCGTTGGGGCCCTGGTTTCTGGTTCGCAGTAGGTCCTCGGCTCTCTCTCGGCAGTGGTGGTTGATGAAGGTAGCCTTGAGATCGGTCTTGAAAATGTCCCACGACGTCAGGGAGGACTCATGATTCTCGTACCAGTGCTTGGTGGTCCCCTCAAGCGAAGAATAGGCATTGTGCAGGCGCTGCTCGTCTGTCCAGCAGTTGTGGCGGGCAACGCGTTCATACTGGTCAATCCAGTCTTCGACGTCTTCGTACTGTTTGCCAAGGAATGGAGCCGGTGTTCGAGGAGCGACGGGTAGGTAGACGACAGCAGGAGCGGCGGGGGTCTGCGACTGGTTGGCCATCGTCGGCTGCCTGGTCCTGGGTGGTAAAAGTCCGTATTCCGGGTGTAGCCCTTGGGTTCGGCGACTTGATCGAGTCTCGATCTGGTCTTCGTTGGGTCCTCGGGAGCTTGCGTTCGGACTTGTAGCGCGGGAACTCGGAGGGTTGCGCTGCACGGACATGCGGTACCCCGCACCTCCATCAAAATGTCACGGGTGGTGACAAAAAAAAACAGGAAATAAAAAGGAAGAAATAAATGTTTAATGTGGCGAACTTGTGCCAAAAATGAAAGGGTACAAAAGATAACAGAGCGTCGCGGGCGTCGAAGTCGGCGTAGCAGCAGAGTCGAGCGCTGGGGCGAAACTGACTCCTGCTTGCCAGGTGGAGCCGCTTTTGTACACGCGTTGGCTTCTGGAGCATTCGATGTAGAAGGTTCGACGCGTAGAATATTCCAACCTCGAATCAGCTAGACTGTTCTCGAATTCACCAGAACATCACATTACAGTGTAAACAAAAAAATTACACCATCTTCCCGAGGGGAACCGTGGGGTGATGCGGAGCATAGTTCCATCACACTTCATCGGAAGAACGAAGTGAAGTGGAGTCAACAGCGGTGAACTGAACGCGCGCAGAAATTGGTTTGTTCTCTATGTTTATACAGCCTTAATGGAGATGCGTGCCTCAACGGGTAATCGGTCTCTTAGCTGTAGATGAGAAATTTAGCCAGTGCAGTACAACCGGTAACCTGGGATTCTTAACGTGCATCACGCAGTAGTCATCACACCAACGCGTGCCGGTACGAAACTCATCCGGATCGAAACGGGCGGGGGTGGCGGGGACTCGAACCCAGGAGGTTTCCAGCGCAAGCGTTCGCGCCACGCTCCGAGATGAGACGCGTTAGCCCACTTGGCCACTTCCTCCCCTTGAACGAGCGCAGCGCGCTACCGCTGCTTATATTCAAACTTGAAGGAGAAGAAACTAGAGGAGGAGAGTTGCGTCTGCGCGCGCGGTGCGAGTAGAAGCGAACGCACGCGAAGTGCACGCAGCTGGTAGCTGCGTGCACTTCGCGCAGCTGTTGGAGAGAGAGAGAACGCACGTGCAGCGAGGAGAGCTGTGCATGCGTAGTGTGAGTGCGGACTAGGACGCCGCGGGACATAGCCCGAGCAAGAGATGCTCCGCATCTAAAATGCGTAGCCGCGGCCAGGAATCGAACCCTGGCCATTCGCGTGGGAGGAAAGCGCGATAAACCGTTAGGCTACGGCCGCGCTGCCTACTTGGCGCGCGGCAGTATGTAATATCATACATAACCCGCATACTTCTCGATTGCTACTGAAACCTGAATTGAAATACGAGTATCTGCTGCTTAGTGGGGGCCAGCGGGTTAATATACCCCTTGGCTCAAGAAGCGCTTGCTTAATTTTCGTAATTTTCCTGCAGCCTGTGTTGACTGAGCAGACGACTGGGGCTGTTTCTTAAACGTGAATACGCACAAAAGCTTGATTTCGGGGACAGATAAATCGCATGATAGATTCATGCGAGTTAGCTGAAATTATTCTCGGTGGAACAATTCTGTAGCCATCGCCGCTTTCCTTAGCTGATCAGAACTGATTAGGGAACTATTACTGTCTCCAGAGCCCATAGTTTGTTTTGAACAAAATCTCCGAAACAACAGTTTGACATGAAAAGAACACAAAGCACCGGGAAAGCAAAACCATGCTCTGCAAGTTTATGTCCACCGGCCACACTTAACCGTTGCAGTTCAGATATTGGGGCATTAAACAAAAGAAAATCTGTTACATTGAATGTGCCACCCGTTTAGCCGGCCTGGCACCATGTTTGTTTGGTGGTGGCGCCCCCTATTGGTCGCTTGAGTATCAAATAGGGGGGTGGTCAGAGCGCTAGCGACAACGTACCGACAGAGATGACGCAGAGGGTCTAGATGTAAGAGAGATTCCAACCATGGAGAGCATTTGCAATTTAATGGTGGATGCCTCCTGGCAGATTGGCGGAAGCGTGCCTGCATTCCATCTCGGTGTCGCTGGTCTGTGTGGTCGCTCTTTGCGCAAAAGTCTAGCTTCGCTCAAACACCGATTCGGCGACTCATCACCACTCCACAACAAGTACCAGCACCTCGACGGGGAAAACGGAGGCAATCTCCTCGAAACAAAAGCGTGCCGCCATCCTCGACGAAGTGCACATAAACGTAAAATATGCCGTCCACCGCCAGCGTCCTCCGCGACAGCAGTCGCAGCTGCAGGAAAGCCTAGACTGTTTTCTGCAGGCACGATAAACGTCTGCCCGTGACAACCCGTAATATAATTTCTTTTTTTACGTGTGTTTAGGTATAAGGGCGGATACAGCAAAGTGATTTCCGATTCCTGTTGACTTTAATATAACCAGTCTTGACAGTAGCAATTAAGAAAGCAGCTGATGAAGGTGATGCCGAAACCAACTTTCAAATTTTCCTGCATTCTCCCGTGGGGCGAGGTCACTTGCTGTGTAACTTGCAAGTTGAGTGGGCAGTCTACAACGTGCAGTGTTTTGTGCGTGATGTTTCATTTCGCTGACGTCATCCTACCAGCTTCTTGTAACCCGTCGAGAACGACCCGCAATGCCCCTGTAATACAACATTTGGCGTCGTGTCATCAGTGTTGCCAGTGGAACCTTTTGAAACATTTTTGAAATTTCAATAGCTTTGGGAAGAAGTTATTTTTACTTGCAGTTTGAATTACTTGTTTAGGTATGTCTATTTAATGTGTTGAACCAATTTGGAGGCAAATAGGCGACTATCCACATTTTGACGGAGAAGCACAGACACCCCAAATACGCAAAAAAATGCCACAATGCAAAAAAATTTTCCCATGCAGGCGTGCTTTTTTGTTTTTCTCTCCCTCTTCTCACCACCTCACTTTGTTTTATTTGTGACGTAATCAATTATAAAATTTAGAAGCTTTGTAAGCAACATTTCTCTAACATTTAATAACGGCGTTCGTAAAACATGTTTTTCAACTCAATTGTGAACGCACTACGGTTCTTCTTTTTCAAATACCGAAAATCGGGAGTCCGGAGTGATGTCGCCTCCTGGCTTTTTATCCTCCCTTGGAAAACACGGCGGCGCGTAGCACTGAGGGTAATCGGTGAGTCGGGGAAGCGGACCAAGTTCTCTTGGTCCGTTTCCTCGATTCTGACCTCTCACACTTCGAAAAGGAAATCGTCAAAACAACCAAGTTTGGTGTCTGTGAACCGTAGTTTTGGTCGTGATTCCGCCGAGGCAGCCTTTCACGCAGAACCGGCGAGACGTGGCCACTCACGTCGCCCACAAAAGTCGACTGCGTGTTCTCTTCGCCCTCGCACCGTTTCAAAGAGTTTGAGATTGCCGAAAGGGCCCTAAAAGAATTTCAAACCGTTAAGTCAGGCGATGGGCGGCACACACGGACAAGAGCGGTTAATCGCGGGCGACCGTAACACTTTGGGTCGCACGCAGTATTTGGCATTGTGCGTTAACGCTTGGCTTTTGGCCCTTTGCAGATGGAACAAATGAACAAGCAGCTGGCCAACCTCTCTAAATTTGTGGCCAAGCCGTGCCCTACCTCACGTCCCTTCACGGCCAAGCTTGAGCAGAAGCACACCGGTGAGTGGTTGTGGACGCGGGTCATACTTCACCTTATTCTACAAACTTTTAAAAGTGTCTGCATACTGCACTCCTAACATCCTTTTTTCTTGAAATGCATTATTATGGTGAAAAGTCATTTCATGAATGCAACATTTGCATTATGAGACAGAAGTTTGAAGGAGCCATCAATGCTGTGTACAAGTCATCCTTCTCTCCGCTTATTTGTTTCGGCGCCTTTTCTCGATGCAAGGAGGTCGCAGAGCGCATTTTTCTGTGCAAAAATGTACTATCGTGTTTATTCTAAAATAGGTCAGGCTTTCCTACGAAGAGACACGTGTCTACTTTCCCGCAGAACCCACAAAGATCAATCATTGAGGCTTACGAAAGGTGCTGGCGAAGCAGACGTAGCGGGGGTACACGGGGTAAAATTTTGCATTTACACACTTCGAGATTCGCGGAGGTGCATTGATTACAGGAGGGGAAAAAAAAAAAAGTTAAAATATTGATACCCTTGTAAGGGGTGCGTTTATTATGCGAGTAAATACGGTATTCATGGGCTTCGTCGGCTGCCATTTTCCCATTAAAATCAGTTAAAGCCCGACCCAAAAAAAAGTTTTTTTTCGCAAGGTAGAAAAATCTTTGCCACCACCCTTCCCATTTCCCCCTCCCTCTGGTATCTTGACTTGACGGCGTAGGGTACTTTTGTTGCTTCTCCCAGATGCCCCAAGATGCGGCAACATAAGTGGTTCCCCCCCACCGCTGTCAAGACACCAGTAAGAGGGGAAAACAGGAAGAATGGCAAGGAGGATTTTCCTTTGGAAAATAATTTTGTAGGGTGGCCTCATTGAGATTAAATTGATTGGGTGGCACAAGCTACCACCCAAGGCTTCACAGATTCATCCACGTTGGATGTCGCCGCAATGTTGGCGTTCAAGAAATGTTATTGTTCAACCGGCGCACATGGGTTGTTGAAATCAGTCCAGCTAGACATTGCCTCAATTCTTTTTTTTTTTTTTCGGCAAAAGCGCACTTTATGACAGGGAGTTAAAAAGATGTTTGTTCAAAGTTCGGTGCCATATACAGTAAACTCAATTGAGCAAACTTCAAAGGACCCATGGAAATAGTTCAATTAACTGAAAGTTCACTACACTGAATATATTGACTAGAATATGGTACAGCATAGGGCACAGCATACATTGAGTCAAAAGTGTGTAATTCAATTTAGGGAGCCATGTACATCGATATATACCGTATTTTTGCGCGTATTACACACCCCTGCATTTAACCCGCACCCCCAACTTACGACTGTTAGAAAAAAAAAAAAAATACCTTGTATTACCCTCATAATTACCTACGGAAAGCAATGTCAGTCACCAAAAACAGTACCTTTGTTGGAACGTTACTCATCGCTGCATTCACTGCAGCTATGAGTTAAAGAATCTTTATTGGCCCAGAGAGCGTCGTCACCCCTGCCGTCCAGGTTGTTGCTGATACAGCACTTCTTAAAACTCTTGCGAATCATCTCTGCAGAAATCGCCTTCCACGCATTGATACTCCACTTGCAAAGTACTGCTATGTCAGGTTTGCGGATGCGGCCCGTGGGCGTGAGGTTTTACCCCTCCTCGGCAATCCACTCCGTGTACATGCGCTTCACGTGCGCCTTAAAAGGCTTGTTCAAGCAAATATCCATCGGCTGAAGCACGGACGTCATCCCACCTTGGATCATGACGAGGTCAGTCTTGTCATCCGCGAGACGGGTCTTCACTTCCTCGGTGTTGTGGCCCCAGAACGCATCCAGCACCAGCATGGACCTCCGCGCTAACATCGCGCCCGGCCTGTTCTCCCACACGTTTTCAACCAGTCTACGACAAGATGACTGTTCATCCAGAAGTTGTCCTCCGCACGCACAACTATTCCAGAGGGCAAATCAGTGGGAAGCGTCTTGCGCTTAAGGATCACGTACGGCCGTAGCATCGTGCCGTCTGCTAACGCGCACAACATCACTGTGCAGCGCAGTTTCAAGTTGCTGCCCGTCAAAATGCTTACAGACTTGGAGCCCTTCTTGTGAAGTGTTGTGTCCAGTGGCATTTCAAAGTACACAGGAGTTTGGTCCGCGTTACCAATCTGCGAGTACAAGTACTCGTGTCGCTTTTGGAGCCTGATCATGTAGCGCTGGAAGTTCACTAACTTCTCCTTTTAGGTGTCAGGAAGTCGTTGGCATAAGGCCGTCGGCCTCCGGATGGAAAATCCTTGGCGTTTCATGAATCGGTGAAACCACCCACGGCCGGCACGAAACTAGTCGTGCGGTATGCCGTCTTCTCTTACCACCCTCAGAGCTTCGATCTGGGCTGTCTTCGTTGATACGGCGTGGCCGCGGCCTCTCTTCTCCTCGATGAACTCTGCCAGCTTGGCTTCGATCTGGGGGTAGGCTCCAGTCTTGGGACCGCGGAAGGACCTGCAGTCACGGCTTGCATTTTGAAGATCCTGCTTCTTTGCTCTCCGCTCGCGTATACAGGTTTCGTCGACATCATACTTTCGGCCTGCCGCATGGTTCCCGATCTCTTCGGCAATGCTGATTATTTTGAGTTTCTGCTCCGCCGTGAAGAACTGCTGCCGAGCACAGGTTATGTCGAACGGAATGGGACGACCAAGATGGCAAGATCGGAGTTTCTTGCTTCGTTCTCCCTTCGTGGGTGCACTGCCAGTCCGGCTATTTGTGCGCAGACAATGCAAAAATGGAAACTCCAAAAAAGAAGATAAACAAGGAGAGACGGGAGAAAGTACCTAGGAAGCAACGGCTAAGAGGGATTCTGGGGAATTTACGTCCCTACTGACCAAGCGGCTCGGCCCGTACTGCTGCCGTGAAGCCACACTCGCCCTCAAATTCGCTTATTACTTTGCCCTACTTTGCCTTGGATTTTTTTTTTTAAGTTTTGATGCGGGTGATACGCGAGAAAATATGGTACAAAGTGCATAACTTACGTTGCTGCCTTCCTCATTTTGAAAAAGAATCTGTAATTTTCATTTGCACCGGCACTCTTAAAGCGCATGTAGTAATGAAGCTGTCCAGAGAGTATGTCTTTTGCACTTCCTCTGGTACAGCTTGTTGCTGTGACGAAGCCATACCGCAACGGCGTCGTCCACTGGCTCGAAGTATCCCATGCAGAGTTGTTTCCTGTTGGGATTGAACGCAGTTTCTCCTTCATGCTTCTACTTCTGCTTCACCATCATTGTCAACGTTGACGGTGGAATCCCATAGTCCTTCGCAACGTCCACTTGCTTTTGACCGTTGTCCAGACGCTGAAGGATTTTGAGCTTGTCTGATAGAGACAACCGCTTCCGTTTCGTCACACTCATTACAAAAGTGGGCGCACAAACTGCCGTCCGGCCGTCGTTACCCAAAACTAGGATGGTTGCATGGAACTGATGACGAAGAAAAAAACAGACACACCATGTGGTTCGTTTTCATCTGCCGCACTGCCGCTTTGCCTCGGCGGCGCTGTTAACGCCAGCGATGATATGGCACAGCACCGCTGGAGAGGCGGCGGGACAGCGGGCATCGGCTAAGCCAGGAATGCAGAGCATAAAACTTCGTTGAACTGATTGCAAAAATAATCCTGGGTCCACCGATCAGGTTCTTTGAACTGAAATATTCGCTATTCCGAAATTCGTTAATCCGTTCAACTGAAACATTTTTGCATAAAATACATAGGAAAATCGCTGGGGATATTTTAAAAGTTTGTTATTCTGAAATAATCCTTCAACCGACGTTTGCTCAAGTGAGAGTTTACTGTAAATGCTACTGATAAACAGGTGGGCCATTCAGGGTTGCTATAGACGCTTTGCAGCAGCTGTGCATAGGCGCCGCCATAGCGGACCTTCAGTTTTTGTTCCCCCTTATTACGTTTACTTCGCTTCATTATTACCATAGCAGGCCAGGTTATTGACATCTTATATTTTATTCTGTCTTGCTCCCCAGCATTGGCCTTTGTGGAGGCTCGTCCACACTAATTTCAGTGGCTCGGTGTCTCGGTAAAACAAGAGAAGGTCAGCAATGGCGGCTGTATTCTGGCGCGTGTGTAAAGCGTCTATAGTGATTACATTGACTTCAAATTGAGGCTGGTTCACACACTTGTTACTGCTTATGACCATATAACTTAAAATCTCTTAAGATGAGAGACACGGTGGTGCCATCTGTTGGGTGGCTGTAGGACACTCGGCCTTTCGGTACATACGTTTCCTACGCACATCCTTCTTTCTTTCTTGGCTCGGAAAGCTTCTGACAATGTTATAAATTACCATTTATCACGATAGTATGTACATTTGATCTTGCAAATTTCGTAAAGCCCTCTCTCTGGTGAGGTGCAGCTCCAGGGCCACCTTGGAGCTGGCGCCAGCGTGCCAGTGCATCCTCTCGTCATCGGGGATCACGACAACTCGGTCGTAAGAGGTCACAAGCAAATGCGAGCGTGTGAACGGCCCTTTACGGTGGAGTCAGACATTCTTACCCAACTCGCCGCACCGTCATTTCAGTGCCAGACAAAGTGCGACTGCACTCCACGACGCGAGCCCAGCAGCGTCACGACTTCGACAGTGCGCTCTCGAGCCGCATCCAGAAGCGCGCGGCCGAGTCGGAGGAGCGCAAGAGGGCGGAGGAAGAGGCCGCCATTCGCGAGCTGCGTCGCAAGACTGTCTTCAGGGCCAACCCCGTGCCTCGACCGAAGCCGGCGGCGGCGAGAGCGGCCAAGAGAGCGACACCAAAGGCAACAAACTCCGCCTCTTCCTCGCTGCGTGCACGGAAGCCACGGCGCTCTCCCAGGAATCCCACTCCCGGGATGAAATGATCCTCGCTACGACGAAGTCCGACATGTACATAAATGTACGCATTTTTTAAGTGTTTGTCTGGGCCCCTAATAGCTCGGATAACCCCCCCCCCCCCCCTCACGGTGTGTTTCTAAGCACTTTTCAGGAGTAAAAAGTTTTTTGTGAATGAACCGATGGACCGAGCGCAATGACACTTTTCGCAGAGATGTCTTTGTGTGGTGCTTTTATCGTGCCTAAATTTTATAAATGTAGGTTATCATACGTCTTACAAGTTACGCATTCGGCATATTTACCGTACGCCATTATACATCGTACACATACGCCACCCTAAAGATACCGTATTTTCACACATATTACCCGTCCCTGCACGTAACCCACGCCCCCGACTTACTATTTGGAAAACTAAAAAATTCCTCGCGTATTTTAGACAAAAAGTTTTAATGGACTTTGCTTATCGGTTTATTTATATGAATCGTTTACATCAGAATAGCACTCAGAAACACCCTGTATGTTGTTTGTGAATGAGGTTCATGTGTAGTGTAATGAGACTAAATCCCTGGAAGCTATGAGAGGAGCTTTGAGTTGAGTACACACAGCATTCTTACAAGTGTATTTGCATCGTGTCATCAAGCTTGCCCAGGAAGTGCTTGTTGCGTATAAAGCGAGATAGTTGTAGCCATTCTTTGTCCGACTGTAAAAATGATTGTACATATGTTGGTGTAGTCCCTGCCACATTGTTTTTAGTTTGTGTTTGATATTTAACCGAACCATAAGAGTGTCTGCCTTAGTGTGTTGTACGTAATATTTTCAAACAAGATCTAGCCACAATATAGTGAATTTTTATACTTTCAATATTAGACCGATGCAACAGATTTTATAATATTTGATGCAACGCTTCCAGGCCTTCAAGAAAACCGGCAACAGTGTTGGGGGGTCATCTTCTACCTAATCGAAATTTTACCCTCCTTTTTATTTAAGAAATTTCACTTGTGTATTAGCATATACCTGTTTGTTTGGAATGGATATTATACTTGTTAATAACGAGGCTTATAGGGGTTTCATTTTTTAGCTGAATTTATGCTAAATTTTTTTTGTGCATTTCATCGTAAGATTGGTGGCTTTTTAAGTGTTCCTAAATATGTAGTGCAAGTTTCAATAAAACGGCTGCATTCTGCCTATTCTCCTCTGCGAGTGAAATCCAATAATTAGATTCAACTTAACTGTGCCATCGACGTGTCTGTTATGCAAACTATAGCCAATTTGGGAAATACCGCTTTCTCCAGTGTAGGCTGCACAAAATTGAGAATCTTGGAGCTGTTTTTCAACTTTACTCGCAAACATGGGAGGAACGAAACAACTGTATCTAATGAATACAGTTCCATGTTTTAGGGGTGTTTATTTTATTTAGTTATTTTTTATTTATTCAGTACTGCCAGCTGCCTTTTGGCTGACTGGGCAGGAGTGGTTACGTCCAGTTTTTTTTAATACATGTGACATCTCTTGACATGAACAAAAGCATCAGAAAGAGAAACCAACAAGGCATATTGTACTTTCAATTGATAGTATGGGTAAAAAAGATATGCTACACTCAGGAGTGAAGATAACAACTATAAGATCAGGCAAAGTTGTTAACAGGGGACATAAACATAAGGTGCCACAATCGCCGGTAAGATGCGACAAAAATAGCGGGGTGTTGCTGTGAACTTCTAGAAGAGATAATGGAAAATACAAGCAAAATAAACGCACTTCACTCAGGTAGGTGCCAATAGAAGATAAAAAGACATCCTGGGGTGTTGTACCGACCACGTCACGTGGAAGATCGTTCCATTCGGTTATCGTTCTCGGGGGAAAAAAGAAAACCGATACGCGTTTGTCCTGCATTGAATCATCAGTAATGTTTTATTGTGTTTATCCAGAGTTGGTCGGCGCTGTCTTAAACTGCATACCACTTACACAGTGGGCTGTTTACTCATGTGAAAGGCAGATTGAGAGGTCGGATGCCAGTTGCGAGCCCTGTGAACATGTCGCCATCACCGACAGGAGTAGTGAGGGACGCTCGGCACTTCTTGCAAGTACCGTCGACCATTGTTCTGCGCACGTGCAAGACGGGTCGCGAGCGGGTGCTCCTCTGCCATTCACTTTCTAGGCCCGCTTATTTCAGCACAGCGCCGCCATTTGCTTCCTAGGATCGCACAAGGCGACGCCTTGTGCGATTCTAGGAAGGCGAAGATAAAGAAAGAAAAAAAAAAAGGTAAAGATAGCGGAATTTCTTCATCTTTTTCTAGTACCTTCTAGTATTTTCGTCTTCACTTAATTTTCTCCGTATCCAAGGTGGTTCATCACAGTGTAATGGGCATCATTTAAATGTAGTTGCTCGTTGAAAGAACTGTGTGTGTCTGTCCCTCCTGTACTTTCTGTGTTTTTATTCTTTCCGTGTGATCTGTACTCTATCCAACGCGCTCTGCTATTTGTAGCTAAAAAGGCTTTAGGCACAGACGCATTTGTGTTGTTTGTCTCTAGAGCTGCTGTGCAAACACTAGGTTTTTGCTTCAATATAAAATAATTTATTCACTTGCTTAAAGGATGGGTGACAGCAGTCCAAAGATTGTTTCTTCTTCCAGTGATGGCCACTGTTCACTTGAAATGGATAGGACGCCTTAGCAGCTCATACATCGGACTGAGTTGAAGCAAAAAAGAAGATACCTGAGTCAGTTTTGAGACAAAACATTGTGGTAGGAGTTCAATCCAACGATTTTAATGTTTAACGAATTGACAGTTTGTATTTTTTATGTTGTTTATCCAAGCGCTAGTGACCAAAAATGCCACACCTTGCCCCGAAAAACTGCTATTCCGGTGCGTAATCGCAAAGACGAAAACGAAATATTTGCCGATCTGCAGCCCCATGTGGTGGTTAACGAAACTGATGTCTGACGCACTCTGGGGGATGCGGGGAAGTGAACAAAACCTGTCCTCCTTCACTGCTACACTTGGCGTCACCCTCGTGGCGAACTGTCTTAATTGTGTCAATCGCTCGCCGCGACCTTCGACGATGCTAATCCTTTAAAAGTCGATAATCGCGGAGGAAGTGGCCGGGGGTCTCTGAAGAGAGAACCCAAGGGGAAACCACATGATCCCCCGAGTACGTGACTCGAAAGGCGACGTGGAGAGTTGAGATGCACTTTGACCTTCGATTTGTTTCATTTTTTTTTACATAAAAACTAGCACTCGCAAGAAAATGTTTTTTTTTTTTTTTTGTTTTTCGTGTTATGGGGGGGGGGGGGGGGGGGGGGGGGGGGTGACACATTAGTTTCCGCAGTTGATTGGCCAAACTCTGAAAATCGTTGCACTACTCCTTTATAACTTGAGATGCGGATACGGTTAACGTCTCTCTACAAAATTGGTGCCACATTATGCTTGGATGTCCAACTTCATCAACTTGGAACCTCCAGCCGAATTGAAACGAGGATCTAGCCAAACTGAAGCATGCAGCCGAATCAACGAGGTAGAGGGGCTTAGAGCGATAAACCGGGGTTCCGGTCTGCACTCAAAAGTGACCCCCATAAGGCGGCTGCCATTGTACGCAAAGTTGACCACTCGTCACATGACCGAACCAAATGCGTGACGTCACAGGAAAGATGGCAGCGCCCATGCAGCGGCTGGCCCCAGCTGGGCCGGAGCTTGTCGGATGCTTTGTTGGTTGTCGTTCGTCTTGGCGAGTTGATTTCAGGCGCAGAAGCCGTCATATGAGGCCGGTCGACAGCGACTTCAGAGTTCAGCGTGGTGTCTGACGTAGGTACAAGGTGAAAATACTGAGGAACGTTGTGCATTTCGCTGGTGACCGACGGCGATATTGCCACGGAAGAGACAATCTGCCCTACGTTGCTCGCACCTCGGATTGATTCGGATACCGCTAGGATAAAATTTAAGGCGACGTTTCTGTGCTCTCGTTGACCGTCGGAACCTTCGAGATCTGCAGTAAAGCGTGTGCAGTGTATGGATACACTACAGTTTAGCGACGGAAATTGTGTGAGTCGTGCTTGGCAGTGTGCAATCGTGGTGTCGCTTCGTTCAAATGCCCAAAGGCTCACTTTGGTTGTGCGGTGCACCGCAGAGCTGCCTTGCCGCTTGTGGTTCCCGTGCCGTGCTAAGTGATACTGTGCTCCTTCCCAAATTGTTTTGGCGTAGACGTGCTCTTTTACGGAGCACAGGTGTGCGACGCGCCGAAGAGCTGCCTTTAATCTGGTAGTTCCTGTGCCGTGCCTTAGGTGATGCTGTGCTGCCTACTAAATTGTTCTGGCGTAGACGTGCACCTTCACTGAGCACAGGTGTTGCAGTTGGTATTGAGTCCGCTGGTCTGTCGCACGTTTCGTCGACACCAAAGTTTCAACACTCGTTACGCGAATTGCAAGCTGTGTGGACATTTCATCGCGCGCGTTACCTACCCAGTCCACCCATTCACGCCGCTTTGCGACGGCAGTCTGCAGCGGCTCATTACCAGAAAAGTGGTCTCACATCGATTTCAGTTCAGCTCGTCCACGGCAGTCGCCAGACCCCGAAGGAGAGGATTTATTCGGACAGAATGCCACTAAAGCAGTGCAGCTTCTTTAGTGGTCAGGATAGACTCTTTTCTGTCTGTTTTGTTATATTGTCTTGGATGCTTGCTCCAGTCTTATTTTCTATCAATATTTACTATTCTGGAAAGTTCCAGGCCATGCTCAGCTGTCATTATATGTTCTGGTGGAGGTGCTGCGCACTTTACCCATAGCCCTTCACTCTGTGTCTACCCTGGTGGCTCCTCAGCCGAGCTGCCGATAACAAGACACGGGTGGCACATTATCTCGAGTCTTAAACCCCCGGCGAGCCGTGAACCAAGTCCTATCCCGAGCCTGGCAGCAAAATTGCAAGACGAGCGAGTACCACAAGGGCGAAACTCGGAAATACACCACGAAGAACTTGAAATCCAAGCCAGGCGCTGCTACCAACAAGAACCAACGGAATTAGGTCTTTTGCCAGAAAAACCGAAACTGGCTAAGCCAACAATGACAACCCTGTCGCAGCAAACCACGTTCGCTCCCACCATTGTTTGCATGCCCGTCGCACCTCGCACTCCGATGCCCTTTCACGCAAGGTGCACAAGACGTCGAGGGCTGGATTGAACAATATGACCGTATCGCCCGCCACAGTGGGTAGATGGACAACCAGCTCCTGCAGAACCTATACTTCTCGTGGAAGAAAGTGTGAGGCACTGGTTTGAGAACCACGAATCCTCCTTGACGTCGTGGGAAGTTTGCAAGACCGAGCTGAAGTGCATGTTCATCAGCCAACATTGACAAGAGAGAGCCGAATTCCCGATTCTGTCCAGGACACGGCCCCAACAAGAGCGTCACCACCTTCGTGGAGGATGTTTTGCTTCTGATCGAGCACCCACGCCAACCCTGATGCTACAGAAGACAAGAAGCTAAGAATCCCATGTTCCTCATGTGAGGGACACCTTCAGCAGCCTTGTCCGCAACCCCACGACAACAGTCGAAGGGTTCATATCAATGCAGCTTCCAACATTGAATGCACACTGCAGGCCCGAGCACGTCACTATTAAAAACTCCCCAGCGTCGCGACACTCAAGTCGTCCAGCTGCAACTTCGACGCCAGCCCCCCAGGCATCTGTGACATCATTCACAACGGTGTCCGGGAGGAGATAAGGAAGCTAGTTCCTGCCATCAGTTGCCCGGCTTTAATTTTGATCGCCGAGATTTTAGAGCGCAGCTCCTAGGGGCCCGTTTCCAGCCTGAGTGGCGTCGGCGTAACCGGGGGGGGAGGGGGGGTGACGTGATCGCCCTCCCCCGAGATCACGTGACCCCCCCGGACTCTTGTGACTACCCGCAGGTGACGTGACCCCCTCAGTACCCTTCCCTACTCCTCCTCAAGAACTGCGCTCCAATTCGGCGTTACAGGGATTTGTAAACGGCTTTCATTTTTTTTTTTTTTTCAGAAGTGTGACAGGCATTTCAACTGGAGACTTCTTCGAGCGAAGCGGCATCTGACGAAACGAGGGCGACTTATGCCACAAAGTCACAACGACCACCACCGGCTACCTGTTACTATTCAGTGCCAATTCAACGAAATACCCCAATGCCGAAGCATTCCCGATATCGAGAAGAACCAGTGTAGGTCCGCGCTG